GTGCGGTTGGAGAGGTGGCCTGGCCTGGGACTGACCAGGTAGGGTCTTCCCCAGAAGTCAGACATGGCACTGACTAGCCTCAGGGCAGTACCTTCTGACTGCCTGGCTAGAGTGGTGGAACTTGCCTATCAGACTGACTAACGGTGGACTGCCTTGGAATGGCTCACCAAGGCTGACCAGTCCAGGCCTAAGCAGTTTTGGAGGAACCACCAAGGGTGAAGGGTCTGAATTGACAGGCCCCTGCCTCCAGCCTGACCAGGCCTGCCCACTTCACTGACCTGTCCCCACCACCTGTGCAGCCATGGAGAAGATGTCTCGCGTGACTACAGCCCTGGGTGGCAGCGTGCTGACGGGCCGCACCATGCACTGCCACCTGGATGCACCAGCCAATGCCATCAGTGTGTGCCGTGATGCAGCCCAGGTAGTGGTGGCCGGTCGCAGCATCTTCAAGATCTATGCCATCGAGGAGGAGCAGTTTGTGGAGAAGCTGAACCTGCGTGTGGGCCGCAAGCCCTCACTCAACCTGAGCTGTGCAGATGTTGTCTGGCACCAGATGGATGAGAACCTGCTGGCCACAGCTGCCACCAATGGCGTGGTGGTCACCTGGAACTTGGGCCGGCCGTCCCGCAACAAGCAGGACCAGCTGTTTACTGAGCACAAGCGCACAGTGAACAAAGTCTGCTTCCATCCCACTGAGGCTCATGTGCTTCTCAGTGGCTCCCAGGATGGCTTCATGAAGTGCTTTGATCTTCGCAGGAAGGACTCTGTCAGCACTTTCTCGGGTGAGGCCCTTGGAGGTGGGTTGGGCAGGTGTGCATCTCTGCAGGCAGCTAGCCTGTCTAGGCATGTTGAGAAGTGCTCTGTGCATTAAAGGCCCTCAGATGTGCTCCCAGACGGCCTCCTGGAGGAGGGGGTCACCCTAGCTGGAAGAGTGGATGGAGGTCAGCAGGGGAGGGGTAGGCCTGATGGAAGTGTGAGGGGTACCTGGAGTGTGGTCACAGCTCTGATGCACTTGTGGGGTCAGCAGGAGTTGAGGCTGGGTGTAGGATCAGGGAGAGGGTAGAGCCTGAGCAGATCCACAACTAACCTGGGCAGCTGAGCAAAGGGTTTGTTTAACTGCCTCTTCCCTTGTCTCAGAGCTCCAGGCCACCTTATTGCATGATGTCTTCTACCTCCAGGGTCCTCAGCCCAGGAAAGCAGTAGCGGTGTGGCACACAGCCTGGTGCTGCTCCTACAGTTCTTTTCTCAGGAGGCCCAGCTCCCTGACAGCCCAACTTGAGCCAGCTTTCCCTCTTCCACCTTGCTGAGATCAAGTGAAGCATAGGGCAGAGCCCTCAGAGAACTAGGGGCCCTCTTAAGACAGACCTTGAGCTACCTGTGCTGGGACAAAGCTGGAGTGGTCCACAAGGGTGGACATGACCCTCAAGGCCTCCAGTCCTCTGGCAGCTCCAGCTAAAGGTGAAGGGACTGGGCAGAGGTGGGGGCAGCCCATTCATGCCTCCTTGGGCCTGAGGCCTGTGACGTATTGTGGACAGATGGCCCAGTGAGGCTCCTGTTCACTCAATGCTCTGATACCCAGTCCTGAAGCTGGCCACAGCTTTGCACAAGGACTGATGTCAAGACACAGAATCCAGGAAAAATCAAGGTCCAGGAGTTTATGTCAAAAAAACACTCAATGCCTGGTGTCCTGCTTGCCAGCCCAGGCTATTCTTGTCTGCTCTGTGAGCCCTCTCTGTACCCCTGTCTGCCCTGGGCAGGCCTCCTGACCTGGGTCACAGGCAGACGTGACATCAGTCCACATCCATTCTGAGGGCTCCGCTCTTGATTGCTGTCCCTCCTGGAGCTCCCTGGAGGCTGGCCCCCTGACTTTCTCGCTCCACTGATGTCCTGCCCACAGGCCAGTCTGAGAGTGTGCGTGACGTCCAGTTCAGCATCCGGGACTACTTCACCTTCGCCTCCACCTTTGAGAATGGCAACGTGCAGCTCTGGGACATTCGGCGGCCGGACCGCTGTGAGAGAATGTTCACAGCCCACAATGGGCCTGTCTTCTGCTGCGACTGGCACCCAGAGGACAGGTGTGGGGTGGGGTGGGGGCTGGGGCGACGGGGCAAGGCAGGTGGGGCTTATGGAAGGGCTATCTCACTGCCTCAAGGCATGTGAGACAGAGAGTGGGGAGCCCTCCCATCCAAAAAAGAGGACACTGAGAGCTTCCTGGGCTTTCTGCAGGGGCTGGCTGGCCACAGGTGGGCGTGACAAGATGGTCAAGGTCTGGGACATGACTACACACCGAGCTAAGGAGGTGCATTGTGTGCAAACCATTGCATCGGTGGCCAGAGTCAAGTGGCGACCTGAGTGCCGCCACCACCTAGCCACATGCTCCATGATGGTGGACCACAACATCTACGTGTGGGATGTGCGCCGACCCTTTGTGCCAGCCGCCATGTTTGAGGAACACCGCGACGTCACAACAGGCATCGCCTGGCGCCACCCACACGACCCCTCCTTCCTGCTCTCCGGCTCTAAGGACAGTACCCTGTGCCAGCACCTGTTCCGTGATGCCAGTCAGCCCGTTGAGCGTGCCAACCCTGAGGGTCTCTGCTACGGTCTCTTTGGGGATCTGGCCTTTGCAGCCAAGGAGAGCCTAGTGGCCACTGAATCAGGGCGCAAACCCTACACCGGGGATCGGCGCCACCCAATCTTTTTCAAGCGCAAGCTGGATCCCGCTGAGCCCTTTGCAGGCCTTGCCTCCAGTGCCCTCAGTGTCTTTGAAATGGAGCCTGGCAGTGGTAGCATGAGCTGGTTTGTGGACACGGCTGAACGTTATGCCCTGGCTGGCCGGCCACTGGCTGAACTCTGCGACCACAATGCAAAAGTGGCTCGAGAGCTTGGCCGCAACCAGGTAGGTGAGGCTGGGCTGAGGGGGCCATGACCTTGGGACAGCATCAGGGGGCTTCTCTGACTTTGCTAAGCCCAGACCCTGTCTTGAGTTTGGTGCTTGGCTCTGGTCAAGGCTACCACTGGCTTTTGCCCCCGTAACTGAGGGTGTCCAGAACCCCAAGAGTGGGCCAGACGCCAGTGCCATTCTTGGGGTGCCAGTCTGGGGTATTGTGGGGCTGGAGCCCCCTTTTCTGGCTTTTCTTGCTTTTGGATTTCCCAAGGTGTCTGGCCCTGCAGAAGTCCACAGTGCTTCTCTCATCACCTCCGTGGGATCCCAGGCTCGTTTCCACATTTCCTTCTGTGCCTCTGCTGGATGGAGGCTAGGATTTTTGTCTTTCCCAAGAGAGCCTCAGCTCCCCTGTCTGGGGTGGGCCAGGACATTGGGTCCCTGGGGCAGCTGAAAGCTGAGGGTTTGTGGTTCCATTGGGGGGGGTACCTGCAGAGGCTGCCAGGGACCTAGGACCCTGTGAGTGACCAGTGCCCACCTCTAGGTGGCGCAGACGTGGACCATGCTACGAATCATCTACTGTAGCCCTGGCCTAGTGCCTGCCACCAACCTCAACCACAGTGTGGGCAAGGGCAGCTCCTGCGGCCTGCCACTCATGAACAGGTAGACACCTGGGGGTGGCACTCCCTAGGGGGTAGGATTGCTGGAGTCCACCCACCTATTGACCCTCCCTCCCCCCAGTTTCAACTTGAAGGATATGGCCCCAGGGCTGGGCAGTGAGACGCGGCTGGACCGCAGCAAGGGTGACACACGGAGTGACACAGTGCTGCTGGACTCCTCAGCCACGCTCATCACCAATGAAGGTAGGCTAGAGGGCAGGCACAGAGCGTTCATGGGAGTGGGACTGGGGCGTGCCAGAGCAAGCCGGCCCTGGAATGCCCTCTCTCCCTCGGGCAGATAACGAGGAGACCGAGGGCAGCGATGTGCCTGCGGATTATCTGCTGGGCGATGTGGAGGGTGAGGAGGATGAGCTGTACCTCCTGGACCCAGAGCACGCACACTGTAAGTGAGGCTTGGGGAGGGGGAGGGGATGGGAGGCGGGGCCAGATACTCAGACCCTGTCTACCCCGCCCTGCACCACAGCCGAGGAGCCAGAGTACGTGCTGCCCCAGGAAGCCTTCCCGCTGCGCCACGAGATTGTGGACACCCCGCCCGGGCCTGAGCACCTGCAGGACAAGGCTGACTCGCCCCACGTGAGCGGCAGTGAGGCAGACGCAGCCTCCCTGGTGCCTATGGACTCCTCCTTTTCACTCATCTCTGTCTCGCACGCACTGTACGACAGCCGCCTACCGCCTGACTTCTTCAGCGCCCTGGTGTGCGACATGCTGCGCTTCTATGCCGAGCAGGGTGACGTGCAGATGGCCGTATCCGTGCTCATCGTGCTGGGTGAACGAGTGCGCAAGGACATCGACGAGCAGACCCAGGTGGGTGACAGGGTCTAGGGGGCTTTCCTGGAGCAGCTGCTACCCCCAGGACTGCCCCTGTACGGTCCCCCTGCACCCATACCCGTGTCTGTGCCCAGCACAGTCTGGTGAGGCCCCTCAGTGCGCTTGCGACCCTGGCTTCCTACCTCCCTCCTCCCCTCCCCACACCACCAGGAGCACTGGTACACGTCCTACATCGACCTGCTGCAGCGCTTCTGCCTCTGGAACGTGTCCAACCAGGTGGTCAAGCTCAGCACCAGCCGCGCCATCAGCTGCCTCAACCAGGCCTCCACCACCCTGCACGTCAACTGCAGTCACTGCAAGCGGCCCATGAGCAGCCGGGGCTGGGTCTGCGACAGGTGCCACCGCTGCGCCAGCATGTGCGCCGTCTGCCACCACGTGGTCAAGGGTCTCTTCGTGTGGTGCCAGGGCTGCAGTCACGGCGGCCACCTGCAGCACATCATGAAGTGGCTGGAGGGCAGCTCCCACTGCCCTGCCGGCTGTGGCCACCTGTGCGAGTACTCCTGACCAGCCTGCCGGACCCGGAGGGGGGGTGGGGCTTATGAACCAAATAAAGGAAGCAGGAGCCGCAGTCTGGGGCTACCTGTCATCTGGTCGCGTCGCTTAAGGTCGGATCCCCGCGGGGGGTCTTGTCACCAAGTGAGCTGTCAGTAGCCAGTAGCTGCGTCTGGTGTGGCCTTCGTCCCGCCTTTCGGAAGTACCCCCTCCTTCCGGGGCGGGCCAAAGGAGGCCGCTTCCGGGAGCCGCGCCGTTGCCACGACGACGAAGTTCCCGGCATGCCTCGCGGCGGCGGGCTCATGGCACCTGGGTTGCGACCACTTCTGCTGCTCGCGTTCTGGATGCTGGCGTCTTCCGCCCGTAGTCCCGCGGAGGCGAACGACGGAGGATGGTGAGCGGCGCTGGGCGGCCGGATAGAGCGGGGCGCGAGGCGGGACGGCCCGGGGCATTCACCGGTTGTGTCCGCAGGCCGCGGTATGGGCCGGGGGCACCGGTGGCCGTGGCGGAGGAGGAACGCTGCACGGTGGAGCGCCGAGTGGACCTCAGCTACGCCGAGTTCATGCAGCAGTATGTGCATCCTCCTGTGTGGCCACACCCAAGCCCGAAAACCATCCTTGGGGTTCCGTCACCCTACACCGCTGAGGCCGTGCACTGGTCTGCTGGCCCGTAACCCC